GAGGAGAAAAGGGAGAGGGGAAGGGAGGAGGAGAAAAGGGAGAGGGGAAGGGAGGAGAAAAGGGAGAGGGGAAGGGAGGAGAAAAGGGAGAGGGGAAGGGAGGAGGAGAAAAGGGAGAGGGGAAGGAGGAGGAGAAAAGGGAGAGGGGAAGGGAGGAGAAAAGGGAGAGGGGAAGGGAGGGAGAAAAGGGGGAGGGGAAGGGGGAGGAAGAAGGGAAAAGAGAGAGAGGGAAGGAATAGGGAAGGGGATGAGGGAGAAGAAAGCTAGAAGAAGGAGTGATTGGAAAAAAAAAGAGAAGAAGGGGGGGGTAAGGAAGAAGGAGCGATGGAGAGTAAGCGGGAAGGGAGAGAGAGAGAGAGAGAGAGAGAGAGAGAGAGAGAGAGAGAGAGAGAGAGAGAGAGAGAGAGAGAGAGAGAGAGAGAGAGAGAGAGAGAGAGAGAGCGAGGAAAGAAAAAGAAATGGAAGAGAAGAGAAGACGATAGGGCAGTAAACAAAGAAGGACAAGAGAAGGGGACGAAATGAAGGAATAATGACAAACAAATCACAATACGAATGACGTTAAAAGAGTAAGAGCGAAGAGAGCAAAAGAAACAAGTCAATCGTGCAATTATTCCGACCCACAACAACCAACCAAGCACACACACGCAAAAATAGAAAAAAACAAAACAAAACGAGACACAATACAGTTGCAGCCGCTTGCAATTCGACAGAGATTTTACGTCTGCAATGCAAAGCCCGGCTAAGACCCTCGGTAGAGACGCGACTCGAAAACCGTATCGCTGTTTCGGAGTTGCTCGCAGTTCTAACAGGAAGGAGGGAAGGAGGGAAGGAAGGAAGGAAGGAAGAGGGAAGGAAGGAAGGAAGGAAGGAAGGAAGGAAGGAAGGAAAGAGGGAAGGAAGGAAGGAAAGAGAGAAGGAAGGAAGGAAGGAAGGGAGAAAGGAAGGAAAAGACGAAGAGAGACAGAAAGAAAGAAAGAAAGAAAGAAAAAGAAAGAGAGAGAGATAAAGAAGAGACGAACAACGAGGAGACAAAATAGACAAAAGCCGAACGAAAAGAAAGAAAAGAAAGAAAGACGAAACAAGAACGAACGAAAGAAAGAGAAGGGACAAGCAACCAGACAAAGCAGGAGAAGAGATAATAGGAAACAAAGAGAGAGAGAGAGAGAGAAAGAGAGAGAGAGAGAGAGAGAGAGAGAGAGAGAGAGAGAGAGAGAGAGAGAGAGAGAGAGAGAGAGAGAGAGAGAGAGAGAGAGAGAGAGCGAGAGAGAGAGAGAGCGAAACAGGCCGCCCGACCGCCCAAAGTAGCGAAGCTGTGCAGGTAGGTGCTTGCTCTCCCGCCTCCCAGTGCCTGCCTGCTTGCCTGCCTGCCTGCTTGCTTGCCTGCTTGCGGTCAATCCACGCCTTTGCCTCTCCCGCAGCTGCCGACGGTCGAGGTGGCCGGACGCATGCAACCGCCATCACGTGACGTTGCAACTTGCAAGAATTACATATTTCCTACACGCGCATTGAAAGTGGAGCTACAAGTGGCGTCATGTGGCGAGGAGGGGGAGGGGAGGGGAGGGGAGGGGAGGGGAGAGGGGGAGGCAGTGGGAGTTGGCTGGAAGAAGAAGAAGAAGGGGGGGAAGGGGGGGAATTAAGAGAAAGAGGCTGGGGGGGGAGGGAGGGGGGAGGGAGGGAGGGAGGGAGGGAGGTGGTTAGGGGGTGGGGGATGGGAGGAAAGACGCAAGAGGGAATCCGAGAGAAGACGACAGAGAGAGAGGAAAGAGAAGAAAGAGGGCATGGGGAAATGAGTAAAGAGGAAGAAGGAGGCAAAAGGTACGAAAAAAGGAGGAGGAGGAGGAGGAGATGGAACGAAGAGGGAGAAAGGAGATGCAGGAGAAGAAGAGGAGGAAGGAGGAAGAAGGAAGAAGGAGGATGCGAGAGGAGACAGCAGGAGGAAGAAGGAAGGGAGGAGGCAGGAGGACACACAACAGCTGATGGTCATGCGATGCCAACCTTGGGGGGGAAGGGGAGGAGGGGGGGGGGCGTTCAGTGCAATACTCATTTCTTTCTTTCTTTCTTTTTTTAATTAAAAGCGATAAAACTCCGTATCTATGATGACACTTGCACGGGAGAGAGAGAGAAAAAAAATAGAAGGAAAAAATCGAAAAACAAAAACAAAAAAACAAAAAACAACTTTGAGGTTGAATTTGAGGTTGAAAAACAACAAGGAAACGAGTGAGAAAAAAAAACACAACGATAAAGAAGAAAGAAGAAAGAAGAAGAATAAACAGAAAAAAAAACACGAAAATAAAAGAGAGTATGGCAAGTGGCAGCCGTGGCGAGTTCACATCAATCCGAATGTGATTAAAAAAAAAAAAAAAAAAAAAAAAAAAAAAAAAAAAAAAAAAAAAAAAGGCCTCAAGAAATGCTCTCTCGACGGGCGATAAGATTTATTTTCACGATAAAAAGTCCTTAGTGACATCAGCACTAAGATGTAGCTGAACAATGCGATTGAATGCTCGCCCAAAAGACCCCGTGTACGATAATGCACGATTTTTTTTTTTATATTTTTTTTCATTTCTCTTTTCAAAGATATCAGCACAAGAGCGTCAAGGCCTTTTGCTTTTATCGACTGGATCATTAATTCGATATACGATTCATCAAACAATTAAGTCAAGTAAAAGCATGAGTGAAATATAAACATCATTATATATCACAACCTACATCCTATCAACGGCAGTATTTTTTTTTTTTTCAAATTCGAATCCACATCATTAACTCACACATGATCGCACGAAAGGAAAAAAAATAGAAAAGGATTAAAAAAAGACCAAAAAGATTTAAAAAAGACCAAAAAGAAAAAAAAAACAAAAAAAAAAGATAAAAAAAGACAAAAAAGATAAAAAAGAGATAAAAAAAGATAAATAAAAGACAAAAAAGATTTCTAAAAAAGATAAAAATAGATAAAAGAGATAAAAAAAAAGAGATAAACAAAAGAGACACTAACAGGAACAACTGCAAAAGTTCGAAGGTCCTTCCTAAGCCTATCTTCTCGGAATCGCCCCGATCGGCCTCCAGGAATTAGCTATCACACTTTTCTTCTTAAAACATCTAAACCCCTTTTCTTCTTCTTCTTCTTCTTCTTCTCCTTCTCTTCTTCTTCTTCTTCTTCTTCTTCTTCTTCTTCTTTTCCCATCATTTTTTGCTCCTTTTCTTCTTCTTCTTCTCCTCCTTTTCTTTTTATTCTCCTTCTCTTCTTCTTCTTCTGTTCTCTTCTTTTTCTATTTCTACTTTCTTCTCCTTCTCCTCGTTTCTTTACTTCCACTGCCTTTTCTCTCTCCTTTTTATTAACAACTTTCTTCTATTTCTTCTTCTTCTTCTTCTTTCTGAATTTTCCCACTTTCATTCTCTTTCTCTTTTCCACTCAATTTTCCTTAACTGATTATGCAAAATGCCTAATTTCTACGTCTTAGCCCGTAGTAGTAGTTGTAGTAGAAATAGTAGTAGTAGTAAAGGAAATAAGTATTAGTAGTTGTAATAGTAGTAGTAGTAATAGCAGCAGCAGTAATAATAATAATAATAATAATAATAATAATAACTAAGATCCTGGCACTAATAACAACGATAATGATAATAACAACTAAATAATAATGATAATGATAATAAAAATAATAATGATAATAATAACAATAATAATAATAATCAAAACAATACCAATGACAATAACCCCAGTACCACTAAACAAGAATAATAAAAATAAAAATAAATAAATAAATAAATAAATAAAATAAACCAAATAACAAAACAAAAAAACAAAACATAAAAAAAACAGATCAAAATAAATAAAAACCAAAAAAATAAAAAATAAAAATATGCATTAACAACAACCCAAAAAAAAATAAACAAGTGTCTCGTTACTCACTACCTCACAAGGGGGAAATTTAGTCTTATAAGGGTGACGCGATATGGTGTGTGATGGTGAAGAGGGTAGTGGTAGGTAGGTAGGTATCACTACTCACCATACTGCTTGCTCCTGTCTGGAGAGAAAAGCGGTATCAGCTTCCTTCTCTCTCTCTCTCTCTCTCTCTCTCTCTATCTTTCTTTCTCTATTTATTTATTTATCTCTCTATCTCTCTCTCTCTCTCTTCTACTGCTTTCTCTCACTCTCTCACTCTCTCTCTCTCTCTCTCTTCTACTGCTTTCTCTCTTTCTCTCACTCTCTCTCTCTCTCTCTTCTACTGCTTTCTCTCACTCTCTCTTTCTCTCTCACTCTCTCTCTCGCTTTCTTTCGTATTCATGTAATTCTTTTTTTGCAAAAAGCGTAAGCAGGCCGTGCAATGGAGATATAGAGATAGGGGGGGGAGGAGGGACAAGGGAGAAAAGGGGTGGGGGGGGGGGGAATGGGAATGGGGGGGAAGGAGGGGGGAATTATATGGAGAGGATATTATAAAAAAGGAAAGTAAGGGAAGACTGAGATAATATGAATGAAGGAAGGAATAAACGAAAAAAAACAAGGAAACCAAACGGGAGAGAGAGAGAGAGAGAGAGAGAGAGAGAGAGAGAGAGAGAGAGAGAGAGAGAGAGAGAGAGAGAGAGAGAGAAAGAGAGAGACAAACACAGACAGATAACATGAGGAAGAGAAAAAAAAACATCAACACTCGTAAAACAGATAAAGACATTAAAACAACCAAGAACAAATACAACAACAACAAAACAAACAAACAAACACACCAACCCCCCCCAACTTACACACACACACACAAACACACACACACACACACAAAACAAACACACACACGAAAAAAAAAAAAACGAAAAGAAGAAAACCTCCATCCGGGACACTTACCATACATCTTCCCTTCGTCGGAAAGGATAATCTTCCTCCTGCCGCAGGGGGGGTAGATGGCCAGCGCCTCCTGGAAACTCTGCTCGATGTCAGGCGACCACACGCCCTCTGCGTCAGCCCCCCCCATGTCCTTGTCATCGTGCATGGAGTTGACATCGTCATCGTCCAGGGG